CTTTCTCTTTTTCTCTTGTTTCTTTTCTTTTGTCTCTCGGGTGCGAACTTATCGAGAAATCGACGAAAATCTGTCGGCCTCTCTTTCGCGAGTGTCGCGGAGCATTATCTTCGTTTTCGCGTTTGGATCGAACAAGAAACGTGGGAGAAGCGATTCGAGAAGCGGTCGTTATCGTTATCCGATGATAGGACAGGACAGGTGCGTCCAACAATAAGCGATTGTCGTCCTTGTTGCTTCGCGGTGGGCGATCGCGATCGCGGAACGCGTGGCGAATTACAAAGCGCAACGGCAACGGGAATAATTGTCGGTGGTAAAGGGATAAAAATTCTAGTGGTAAAAAGTGTCGCGTCGTTTTCCCCGCTTCTAATCTCGTTGGCTGGATCGATGCGCCTTGAAAAAGATCTCCCGAGGGTCGCGCGATAAATTAATGCGCTTTATCGCGGCTTCTTCAGGGTCGTCCTGGCTGGCGTAGTTGTCAAAGGGAGCCGCGTTTAATGCGAGTACGCTACACCAATCCGATGCAACGCGACATGACGCATCTTTTTTGCAGGGCCCTGTTTCACGGGGTTTCGTCCGCGAGCACAAAACCCCGAACGCTAATCTCGGGATCGGACAATTTCTCGGGATTTCTCTTCACCCTCGTGATTATCGAGCAAATCGCGGTTGACGTCGTTCGCCGTCGCACGTTCGCGTTCTACGCTGGAAACAGCCGATCGATCCAAGGATTTATTTAAAATTGTAATGGTAGCGCTTTGGATTATCGGCTATCGACGTCGCGGCGTCCATCGACCCGCGTAAAATACGATTATGAAAGTCCTCGTCCGATTTCGGTGTTAATCTAATCGGAATCCTAGCCGCTGGGATATAGATTCCGAGAACCTAACTCTGCCATCTGCTGCCGTTCCACGTGCTTTTCACCGACTCGATTCGAGTGGATGAGCTTACGATGCTCGTCGATACTGAGCGATTGCGAAAGATAATAATTGCCGGTATGTAAAAGCGATATATGTGTCTAGAGAGAGAGGAGGGGGGCTCTCTTTGATTCTCTTGGCTGAGAACGAAAAAAAGCCACGAGTTGCCGATGGATGGAATCGGATCGAAAACGAAAGTCAAGAGCTCGATATCTCTCTCTGTGATGTTTCGTAACGTCGCGCCGTTGAAATGCCATGTTCTTTTCGCTCGGTATGTAAGTGGGATTGGCACAGATTTTTCCAAGGTTTTAACACGGGGCAATTTATCGTTCGATCGATGGAAAAGAAGGTCGAACGAATCTATCGGAACAAGGAATAAATGTATCGGAGAGGCTTCGGTCATCTGTAAATATCTGTCCGAAAGAAGTTGCGCTCTTTTTCGCGCGCGAATGAGGGTGTGCTGTTAGTAATCGGCCGCCTATCGACCAGCGATATTCATTCGCCGTCGACAGGGCGTCCGTAAGAAACGAACACAAATCGGTCCGATTATCGGTCAAAGGAACTCTTTATTGTACACGCATTATTAAATTGTATACAATTATCGCATCCATTCCAAATCTTACACACGCACAAATTGCTTTTCTCTAATAATACTGTGACGGAGGTGTTACAGTTGCTGGTGGATAATTCAAAATTATATCTACTATTAAATAGAGGCAACGTTATTAATAAATTATTGGCCCGCTTAATCTACCAATTAAATTACGTTGTTCGCGCGATTAAGAGCAGTTACTCCATTGTCTCTGCCGCGAATGCTCCAAGGCAAATTGTAATTGCCTTTAAGCATTATTAGAGCGACACGTCTCGATAGCGTTACTAAGCGTGAATATAATGTACGGTCACCGAGTTCGCCGCGGCGTTAAATCGGTCTGTCACAGTCGATCTCCGTATGGCTGACGGCCGATCGCGTATTCAACCGCGAATCGCGCATCTTTTCTGCGTTCAGTTTGAGATCTGGAAAGCTAGCTGGTTCGTGAAACGAACGTGAATCAGCTCGATTCAGGTTCTCTTCGGTGTCCGCTTCTTCGTCCTCTTAGATAATCAAAAAAGGTAGCAATTTTTAACAACGAGATTCAACGACCGAAGATTTAGAGATTGAATCCGGCATGTCGTTCGTACTTTGATCCGATCTCTAATCCGACGATTAGTTCTGATTACCACGAAGACGCAAGCGGGTTACAAACGTTCGTTCACTTGCAAACAGTGATCCACTCCTCCACGGTACAGTTTTGACATTGCACGAAGCAACACCAATGAAACTTGCATCTGCATCTTTCGACGCGTCTTTGTCTCACGACGTTGTAACCTCTGTCGCAGCAGAGGCTGCTGCATCCGTCTCTGCCGGAACTGGTCTTGTTGCATCTCCGACCGGCGGTCCCTGGAATGTCCGCGCTCGGGTCCCTCTCGCAGAAATTCGGCGAGTCTTGGTAGTAAAACAGCTGCTTGGCGAGATCTCGCGGTCTTCTTTTGCGCCCGCCACCGTTTCCACCGCCGCCACCCGATCCGCCGCGATGTTTCCTTTGCCTCTGACGATCCGGCCTCCTCCTTCGCGATCCCCTCACTCTGGTTAAAGAGGTCACGCTCCCCACGTTGCTCTGCGCCACCAACACTGCGTTTCGAAAGCGATCTTTGAGCGTTTTCCCGACTATCCGGAAGTCCGGCGCCACTTTCCAGCAGGTCTTGAGCTCGCAGGAACCCGACATACCGTGGCACTTGCAGCGCACTTGCATGTTGCTCGCCACCGCCTGAAATCTCACCATGATTGTATCATGATCGAACAGATCGAGTGATGGAATGAAAGAGTCGAAAGGAACGAAAGGGAGAAAGCAGACGAAGACAACGGTGGTCGTCGACGAACGGTTACGGAACGCGATTCGGTTCAACGAGTGCAGTGGAGAGCGGAGTGGTCAAGAGTCGCATGAACAGCGGCTGAAGAGAAAAGGGGGGCAATTTCTTTTAAACAAAGAGGTGTCGCGTACAAAACAGTTAATGAGTCTACGACTGGGTGGTCCAGCCCGGGGCTTCGTCTTAATAACGTCGAGGCGAGACCGAGCGTGGAGAGGTGCATGGTGGAGAGGAACGGACTCGGCTGTACTTCTACTCCTCCTCTCTACCCCTATTCATCGTTTTCTTTCTCTCTCTCTCTTTCATACACACATACGCGCGCGCGCACGCACGCACA